GCTGGGTAGGCTAAATGATGTGGGTTCAAGCTCTAAATGGGTAGGGGTAAGAATTGGATATTCTTTGACTCGATCATGCATGGATATGAATATGAATGTGGATATGAATGTGAATGTGGCCGCACCTCGATGTGAGGTTGCCTACGTATCCGTTAGGAATCAGGCCAACGTAGCTCTAACCGAACTTTGCACAAGTGTATGTACACCTCAAAGAGGTCTTTCAAGGGTTGTAATATGGTTCAGTTGATGGTTTAAAGAAGAAAAGGGTACAAGGCTCAAGACCCGAGAGAATCCCCAAGCTGTGTAATTGTGAATTTGAAAATTTTGAATTTTGCAAGTTTATTTTTATTTTTTTTTTTGAATCAATGTGGGAAATCTCAGATCATGTGGTCCATCACTCACTTAGCATTCATGTTTCTCAGGCACGGTACCAAGCACTCGATGAGAGACGCAATTTGAGACGTGTTCATATCAAAGACATTGGTACACTTGCCCTTAGACATTGTTTTATTGTTGCTTTGCTACTTTTTTTTTACTTGCTTTTTGAATGTTATACAATTACACACCTTCCCATCCCAGGGTTGAGTGAATGTGGGTTGAAGAAATGAAGGCCAAACGTTAGACGAGGCTCAAAGTGGTTGATGAAGAAATGGAATGTGTGCTTGAATGGTTAATGGGAAATGACAGGGTTGGAAAGGTGCCTCAAATCATTGGTGTACCTTGTGTTTAGTTCGGCAATTGAATTTTTTTTTTTTTTTTTTTTTGGCGAATGACATGATCAAATGCGAAGGAAAGAAATGATCATTGATGGAACATGACATATAAACATAAGGATAAGGAGAACCTATGCTAGACTTATTCGGGGAAAAGGGTTAAAACAAAAGAAAAAAGCATGAAATCTTGTATGAAAACTTGTCCTGTGCTTCGTCTTCATGGTTGCTTATGAATTACTTGTTACCGCCAAGAGTAACAAGAAGTTTGTTATTGCTGATGCTTTGATTGGAAGAAAAGAAGGAATGACGTTCCCCTTATTCTTCCAACTCTTGCCTAGTGATTCTTGAACTCGAGTACTATGGAACAAAATGAGCTCACTTAATGCAATGAATCAATACTCGAATTGGAAAGGAAGAGTGTATGAAACAATTTTGAATACTGATGGGAAATACTCCACTCATTCCCATTACAATGGAAAGCGATGCATGCATGGTCCTAGTATACGATCATAAACAATATAGAGCATTACCCGAAGACAAAGTGCGTGCGATGACTCAACATGTGAGATTAGGTGAGTTTATTAAGACTCGTGGTATGATCGCATGGCTAGACATGAGGACGTTGTGAAAAACAAAGGACCCCATGACCAAATAGCACGGAAGACTAAAAGACAAACTAACTTGATTAATTTTGTCCAATTTTAATGTTTATGCTATTTACTAGGTGGAAACGGTCCATTGGCAATCATTATTCATAAATAAGATCAACCAAAATCAAAGACAAAGAACACATATAAAGGTTAGCACAAAAAATCACAAGAAACTAGGAAGAGGACTAGAATTCTAGAAGAGTTATGACTCATGGGTATAAAAAAATAAATAAATAAAAATAAAAATCTATAATCATATGTTATATGAGTTGACATGGATTAAAGGACTTGGCTAAGACTAGCTTGACACGAAAAGATATAAAAAATAAATTTTAAAAAAAGAAGAAAAAAAAGAAAGTTGACGCTAAAAAGACACCTAAACTGGGCAGACAGTAGTATATCGGTTATAACGTTTGATCTGTGACTCTAATTGGGACAAAACCAACTCTAAATCAAAGAGAAAACTCGGGGCTACAGATCCATAGGTGGCACGACACGTAATTCTTTTTAGAACTCTGGCTATGACCAAAACAAGTTGACTATTGTGCAGGATACGGGAATAAAAATCCGGGTGACTAAAAAATTAAAAAAAAAAAATCAACGACTCTAATAAAAAAAAAGAGTTTGATAAGAGAAAAAAATAATTAAAAAACGTCAATAAAAAAATGCACATATAAGCATATCGTCACGCATGATGCAATGAAGTTCGCAACCTAAAGTCAAGTTCTATGTTTGACTATGGTCAAGCTTTTGGGTGTCCAAGGGTACCATGGTTAAGAGTTTGGACGCGTTAGCAAGGCATCCTCCCTTCAAGGTGTATGCCAACGGGCGGCTCCGCGAGTTCGTGATGAAATCGAACTCGACTCCATGGTCTGGATGGATTTAAAAACTCGGATGAACCCTTATTGCCATGAGCGTTTTCGAGTTGATAGAGCATAAATCCCCCGGGCTAGCCACATACGTAGAACACGTACTATTGTGGCAAAATAGGTAAGCTAAAATGCATATGCATATGTGACAATGCCAATTAAATCGCAGGAATATAATTCAAGAATCTTTCAAGTCTCATCCACTCATCTCAATTATATACCGATCACTCAAATCGATAAATAACCAAGAATCCTCCCCAGTGGAGTCGCCAATTTGTAGGCGTCGCTCGAAGTGCGCCTACGTTAAGCATGTTGTGAATATGCTTGACACTCATAGGAAGTGGGAATTGACATATACAATAAGGGACACGATTAGGGACAAGGAAAGTAGGGAGCCGCCAACAAGTTTTTAAGGAACTTGTAAACCGTTCACGTATCATAAAAGGCAACCACAATAAAGGACAACGATAGGCAACAACAATTGACCCATGAAGGTTACACCCCATTCATAATCCATGAGATTACTAACTCCATATGGTTCGGAACCACGAAAGGAGGATCGAGGATGATGGTACGAAAGTGAGTCATGGAGTCACATTCGCCCGTATTGGCCTCTACTCGATTCTTATAGTGAAAAGTGATTCCTACGATCTCAAAGGCATACAAACAAAAATTCAATTTGCTCCAAACTAATATTAAGCTAAATTGGTTGAATATTAATGCAACACATAATTCTAAAATATTTGTGATCACTTCTATTAACAATAAGATTAAAAGGATCCTAAACCGGTTGTCCAAATTATCTTATTAGACGTGATTTTCAATTACATATTCCCTTTAAACATGCAATATAGTGATCATAATTATAAAAGAATAAACATTAACATTGGAAGCAATTTAACAATAATAGCGTTAGTCAAATTAAATATAAAATAACCTAATCATGATACTAGCAATAAGAAAATAAAATAAGAGTTATTAAATTCATTAATTACTCACATTCTACGCGAACCTTTAAATTGCTACATCATGAATAAACTGTTAGTAACTTCAATGAAAATATAAAGCAAATAAAAATTAAATTAAATAAAAACTAGAGGTGATTTGGTCCAAACCCTCAGTTAATTATAACTTTCACGCCTTGGTTTAATTATAGAACTTCAGGTATTGTATGGACTCCTTGGAATGTTTAAAGGAAGAAATAGTGAAAGAATTGGGAGGCTAGTGTTTGGGCTAAAGAGGGAGAAGAGAATTATTTTATGATCAAGTTTGTTGATGTTTGAAAAAGGGGAGATATGACCTCTATTTATAGAGAAAAAAGAAGTGTCGAAAAATAAAGATAAGATCCGAATTAAATCGGAATAAAACTCGATAGACAGCAGTTTTTGCGATTTTTGCTTTTATCATATCTTTTGATCCAAAAATCGGAATAATATGAATAAGATATTGTTGGAAAGCTCTTGAAGTCTAATTTATAACCCAATTAGAATCAGATTAAAATATATTTATGAATAAAAGATATAGCCGAAATAGTGAGACGGTGTCAGTTTTGGATAGAGTTTGACATTTTATTCATATCTTTTTCGTTATAGCTCGGAATTGATATTATAATATATCATTGGAAATATAATTTCAAGGGATATCCAACCATATAAAATTTGGATAAAAACTATGAGGCACGAAAATAATATCTGTCTATCTTTGAACGTCTTTCAATTCGAATAGAAATAGGATTTTCAAAAAGAAAGTTTTATTCAATTTCAAACTCTTTAATCTTATCTTTTCAAAAAGGATAATTAAGATATTTTAGAAACTTATAGAAGATTCTTATTAATCCTAATTGGTTTAGGAATGGGATTAAATAATTTGGACCCTCTACATGATCATTCGGCCGTTGGTAAGGTGGGTTTAAGTTCGGTTTGGGCTCAGTTTAAAATTTTGGCCATAACTTATTCGTTAGAATTCGGATTTGGGATTATAATATATCGTTGAAAAACTCTTTTAAAGAACCATGCAACTATTAAATCAATGGACCCAGATTATGGTCCAAAATAAACTGGATTAAACGTTTTTATAAATAGGACACGAAATGAATGATTTTAAAGGACATGAAATGAATTATTGTGGGTTAAAGGCACGAAAAGTGGAAAATAAGTTATGGTTTGGGGAAATTGGCTAGGAATTGGGTTGATTTATGAAATGGAAATATGGATTTAAGCACTCCAAAGATTACATACTCAACCCGACCAATAATGGCGGTGAAAGGTTGTTCATCATCAGGTTTGGTTTTGGGGAGACATTTTTAGGTGTCTACAACACCCCTAGTATGAATTCATTAACTTACAAGTTACAACAAGGAAACGTTACATACAAAGTATTTTTATTATTATTATTCTTTTTTTGTTGAATTAATACAATAATAAGTACTCTGTATATGGGTTTCGGATTTTGGGGCCCTAGGTGGGCGCCTCGGCTGCCCCGGGCCAGATACGGCCTTGCTTAAGGAGATCAATACTATATATCCAAATTATCTGCAAGAGCCAAATAACAAAAGCCCCCAGCCCCCCTTAGCTTCACACCTGATTATGTGTTTTTTGTTTTTTTTTTTGTGTTTAGAGAGCCACAAGGGCGGGGAATAAGAATCAATCCCAAGATCTCCTGAAATTGGGAGGAGAGCTCTAACCACTTGAGCTATCCCTCACTCTCACCCCTGATTATGCATGGTGTTTCTAATTAGGTGCAAACAAATAAGATTCGAAACGAGGATAATAAGATTCGAAATGAGTATAACATTACTCTTCGTTCTTCTAAAGAAATAGTGGATAGACCAATGAAGGATGTAACAAAATCAACATGTTATACAAATTGCTTATAAATTCTCGGTGTTGTAACTAGTATGATCAATGGAACTAAACCAGGATGCTTATCATTTACACTTTAGACGATCTATTCGAGTACTCTTGAACCAATGCCCCAAAGAGTGATTTCCTCTCGAGGAGACGAGATGGTGCATCAAATTCCTTTGCCAATCCTGTCCAGTAAAAACAGGTTAGAATTCCTTTTTATGCCAAACACAGATGTGCTTAAAAACCAATCTTAGTCACAGAAACATACTTCTTATAAGGTAGTTAAAATTGGAATCAAGTAAAACAATCTTTGAAGAAAAAAATAGATAGCCAAATCATTAATATGATCAATACTCATTAGTCAATCGATTTCTAGAAGAAAATGTTAGCATTATGTCACACTATGTATATAGTAATGAATTAGAGCGAATTCCATAAAAGTGATAGAACGATTGACAAAGAAATGAAGAGAGTTACCTGCATCGATGACTAATACTCTGTCACAATCCATTACAGTGGGTATTCTGTGAGCAATGGTAATTACAGAACATTTTCTGAAGTCCTCTCTAATGATCTTTTGAATTGTAGCATCTGTTTGGGAATCAACGGAAGCTGTAGCTTCATCCATGAACAAAATACGGCTTTTCTTGAGCATGACTCTCCCTAAGCACATCAGCTGTCTTTGACCAACACTCCAATTTTCTCCTTCTTCCGTTACTACAAACAAATAAAGAGTAACTCAGGTTCGTCCAATCATCCTATGCACATTTTTCTCTAACTGGCAGGTATACGCAATAGAGTATTTCTCAGGAAAAGATAGAGATAGAAAAACCTGGAGCATCAAGCTTTTCTGGCTTTGCTGCAACAATATCCTTAAGTTGGCAACGTTCCAGGCTCTAAAAACACAAATGGTCTGTTAGTTTGATTAAAAACATAACGAAATATTAGTAGGCCAGCTACTTTTGTTAATACTACTACAACACAATCACTAAATAGTTCAATTCATAAACTTTGATCAGAACAATTTTAGTTTCTATAATCTGGCTCATGTCATGTGACTAAGTTTTACACTGGTTGTCATTGGCCTATTGTAACCCTCCTCCTTTATCCAGGCTTGGGACTGGCAGCAGGAAACCCACTAGCAGAGTTTTGTTAATCTGGCTCTCTAGTAAAAATACCACTTCTAGACATATTTACTTCTCGGATGCATATCTCACTTCTCGTACTTGTGATGACATGATTTTGTAGAAGTTTACACATATTTTTTCACCCCATCATCTAGTTTAAGTTGTGGCACATTAGTATATGTAACTACAAATTTTAAACATGGTGAAGATTATATTAAATGCTTGGAGTATACTTATATTCTATATCATTTTGATGTGATTACTACTTAGCAAAGGAATATTAGAGAGGATAAATATATATACCTTCCATATCTCTTCCTCGGAATAAAGCCCAAGTGGATCCACATTGATTCTCACCGTTCCTTGAAATAGTACCGGCTCTTGTGGAATGATCCCAAAGCGAGACCTTAGATCATGCAGGCCAATCTTGCAGATATCGATGCCATCAATTATTATATTCCCTCCATAAGGTTCAACTAGCCTGAAGAATACTTGTATAAGGGTGGACTTTCCACTCCCTGTGCGACCAACAACCCCAATTTTCTCGCCTCCTCTAATGCCAAGTGTGATACCTTTTAGCACTAATGGGGTGTTTGACCGATACCTTACCTGTTCATAATTGCAGTACATTCATTCATGTGGTAAAATCAACATAAAAGAACATGAAAATACAAGAGCCTAAAATGTAAATACCACATATAAACTCCTTTATTCCTAGTAATTTCAACCTTTTGCTCTGGTGTGGATTACTAAGTTAAGGCTGGCTATGCGATTAGCACACTTTGTCCCATAAACAAAAAAAATACGACTCAGATAACACAAATCTATACATTGAAATCGAAAGAGGAACTTCTTCTGGACATTCCAAAATACTAATGAGAAATTTGACTTGGGAAGGATTGAGATCAAATATTAAGGGTGACATGTCGTAAGAAGTTAGAGCTTACTTGTAAGTCCTTTAGTTCAATGTTGCCATGAGTTGGCCAGTTTGGTAAAGGCTTGCATTCTTTGATCTCCCATGCTGCTTCAGATGGGACTTTGATGAACTGCTTCATCCTCTCAACCGAGACCATTTTATTCTCAACAAAGCATGTCATATATATCGTCCAAAACAGAACAACATTGAGGGTAAGCCCATACGAAAGAGAAAGACCTACGAACTCTGCAGCATAGTAAAGTTTACAATGTAAGTTTTATAAGACAAAAATTCACACTTAGAGTTCAATCTTCACTAAATAAGTTTAAGATCGATTTTGAGTTACTTTTACTAAGAACACTTGATGGTATATTCTTAATTATGGCTTCTATTACCTGGTTTGATAATACTGCTGGGCAAAAGAATCATGAACAAAGTGGAAAGACATAGGATTACACATCCAATGAACTCTAAGCGGAAACCTAGCCACTCATTTGCTCCAGTAGTGTGGAAATCCATCTTAAGGCTTGTGTTAACCTTGTCAATATTATGCTTACAGAACAAGGCTTGCCTCCTGAAGCATCGGATTGTCATTACACCTGAAACTGTTTCTGAGAAATGATGGATGACAGGGGATTTTGTGATTGAACCTAATCGAGTCAGTTCACGTGAGTTGGCTAGGTAGTAACCCTGCATATATACATTCCCATAGATCTTGAATAAATATGATGTTTATCAAAGGGAAAAAAAAAAACTTCATAGCAAGACATACCCGGTACCAAAGATTCAACCATATTGAGGGAACTAGGAGGATAACTGTTGGCCAGGCATATACGCATGTGACCACTAAGATGCTCACCAAATTGAAATACATAACAATTGTCATGCCCAAAAATAAGGGAATTGTAAGATCAAGGTTGGTTTGATCAGTTGATGCCTGAAAAGAGTAAGATAATTATTACCACTACATCAGAAACGGCAAGCTATAGGAAATCACTAATCATATAGTATGTAATTATATAGATTGATGATGAGATATAGGATGAGCTTACCCGATTTAGAATTCTTCCAGAAGGAGTAGTATCAAAAAACGACATTGGAGCATGTAGGATGCTGCCAAGAATCTGGTCGAAGAAGCCCTGAGCAGTTTTAAGTCCCAAAAATGTTATTACAAAGGCTCTAGCAGTCACTAAGAGACATGATATAATCCCAACAATGAAATAGACGGTAATGAACAAGCGAGGAGTAAAAGTATGATCTTCTGAAGTCTCATAAGCTAGCCAGTAATCACTACCGAACAATGATACAATCCAGAAGAGAGATACTAGTACCACTGCAGCCACTCCCCACCATCCGAAAGCTTCTGTAGAGTACTGCTTGTACACGTCTATGCTAACCTGCCCAACTTCTCGTTCCTCTTCTTCAATGAGCTTGGAAGTTCCTTTTTGAGGATTTGTTTTACTTAGAGATTTCTTCTCAGACTTGACTCTTTCTAGTGACTTGTTTTCGCTGATTAGAGATTTTGGTGCTTCTTCTTGCTTGTCCTCAGATGTATGTGAGCTTGTCTCTACAAGATCCATGGAGGTTTGATAGGAAGCCACAAGAGCACCAAAATCCAAGCCTGCTTCAAGAAGCTCATTGTATTTTCCAGATTGTACAATTGTTCCATCTCGCATCACCTAGATATTGCATTGCATACATCTTATAAATACAACACAACAATTCTTATGAACTTATTTGAAAGCAATACAATTGTACATAAAGCTTACAAATATATGATCCGCATTGTGCAAGAAGTCAACTTGATGAGTTACTAGCAGAACAGTTTTGTCTTTGAGAGCTCCCCTAACGCACTCCTGCAAGCATTAGTAAATTCAATTAGCTTTGTTTGAATGTGTTTTACTTGCATTTGATATAACATACATTCATATAATTATTTGACAGACCTTGAAAATATCTGAACCAGTATGTGCATCTACAGCACTAAAAATATCATCCAGAAGATATACATCATCATCCTGATAGATTGCTCTGGCAAGTTGGATCCTTTGCTTCTGGCCACCGCTCAGATTGATACCACGCTCTCCAATCTCAGTCTTGTCACCGAATTCCATAATTTCCAAATCTTTTTCCAAGCTACATACTCTAATAACTTCCATATATTTCTCTTTGTTCATTGGTAGACCAAATAGAATGTTTTCTCGAATTGTTGCATTCTGTATCCATGATGTTTGGGCTACGTATGCAGTGGTACCACACAATTTAACCTGCAAAATGAAAAAAGGAAAGAAAATCATACTTTAACACATGGAATCATGTAACCTTTTAAAATGATTCATTATCGTCTAAGAGACCAAAAGGATGTTATTATAACTTGATTATATCCTCAAGGCCAACATTGCTTGATGCTTATTTTGAATTGAACAGGGATAACTATGTAAGTCAGACACTGCAGGGAGGGAAATGACACAGTGACAGATGAATATTAAGATACGACAATTAAGGTACGCTTGTATTAATGCTGAAACTGCTTGATGCTCTGTTATCAAAAGAATCGCTTGCATACAGTAAGACAACCGATAGCTACAAGAAGCTGCATATGAGCAAATCACTAGCTTATAACACAGGCGAATTAACTTAAAAAAATATCTTGTTAAGAATGCTACTGACTCTTTCTTAGTCTCTTAGAGGGTACAGTTGCTTGACACTTATGCACAATTAAGAAATAAGATAACCACAGATAAAGGAAATTCCAGTAGAGTATAAAAGCATATCAATGACAGCATTATATTGGACATACCTTTCCAGAGATTTTGTGCATTTCACCCAAAATTGCAGCTAATACAGAAGATTTTCCAGACCCTACAGTGCCAACAATGGCGGCCAATTCACCTTTCTTGACCTGAAGATTCAACCCTTTCAAGGTTTTTTCAGTTGCTTCATCATCCCAAGAGAAACTCCCTTGATTCACCTCCACAGCAATGTCACCTTGACACCCTTCGTCTCTCTCCACTGACCCTTCATTTAATTCTAAGCTCATCAAGTAACCATCCAATCTTCCAAGTGAAATCATTGCCTGAGAAATCTGTATCAAAGACTGAGGGAAGTTCCTCACTGGCTCCTGCACAATCTTCATTATCGTAGTTACTGTAAATACAGTGCCAGCATTGAGATTCTCACCCATCCAAACTGCAACTGCGAATGCAAGAACAGAAAGTGCAGTAGGGGTGCTCCAAAGCACACTCATATTTCCAGAAATAGTATATGAAAACTTGGACAACCATCCAAATTCAAGCTCCCGGTAGGATTGAATTCTTTTCTGAAAATAGTCTTCCCATGCTTGAAACTTTATGACCCTCATATTGTTTATCATTTCATTTGTTGCTTTAAGCCTAGAGTCTCGGTTTTTCATGACTTGGTACTGAAAGACATTGCACTTCTTTGTACGTACCATGACGTATGCTAGAATCACAATGACCCCGATTAATGTTGCTATTGCTGAAACACCCATGTTAAAGTATAGCAAACCCAAGGCAGCAAAAAGTTGCAGGGGCATAAGCCAAATGGAATGCAACTGATTCATCAGATCACCTAGCTGTTGAGCATCAACCGCCATGTAATTCACTATTTGACCAACCCCGTGAGCCTGCCTCGAAGAGCAAGATAGCTTCAACCCCTTTTTATATAATGCAGTTATAAGGGTGGACCTTATAAGTAACCCAACTCTCTGAGTATGGAAATTGAAGTGATGGGAACTCAAGACTTCGACTGTTTTAGCAACTAAAAGGGTTATCACAAGGTAATATCCTTCATAAGGAGAGCTTTCGATTCCAGAAGTAAAATCGACAAAGCTTTGAATAAGTACAGGACCAATATACATCACACAAAGCTTTATAAGTGCAAGAAAACCAGTGTACAAAACACTCTTCCAAAAGCACTTGAGCAAAGTAATTGCTACTGGGTGCTTTGTATGCTCACTCGGGTTAGGCCATTGTGATTCAAAGAGCTCCGACATCCTCTCAGCTAGATGATCAGGAGGAAGTGAAGGAACATCTTCAACCTTTAAAGGGTTCTTATACCCTTTATCCATCAAAGGGTTCATCCAAAGCCAAGTAGTCTTAGAAAACAAATTTGCCTTCCAATAATCACTTGCATTAGTATCATCCTTAATCGGCTCATGTAATTCTTCTCTTCCATTCAAACCATTTTCGGCCTCTTTGATAACTATAATCCCAGAAGATGTTCGAGAGGCGGCTATCAGCAGATAAAAGGAAAATGGAAGGCTTATCAAAGAAAACACATCATCCATTTTTATATATGAATCCAACTCCTCAGAAACTGACACTATTCGAGTCAAACCCGAAATACTAAACACTAACACAAGCACAAACTGAGCAACCCAATAAATCCTAAGCAAAATAGGATGAAAAGTAGCATGAAATATCTGTTCATGAACAACAAGAACAAAAATTGCTACTTGTGTTAAGGCTTGAAGTACCCTAAACAGAATTTCAGTCTGTTTCCATGATACTTGCCTAGTAATTCCTTTATTATCACTCCCCACAAATGTCAATACGCTCAAAACAACATATAAAACAGCAAGCGAAGCAGATGAAATCAAGGAAATTCTGAACCATAAATTAATCTTGACATTAAATCTATTTTGGTTATTGTTTTCTAAGAGGGGTTTATTGATTGAAGAACTAGAAGTAACATTATTATTACTACTATTATCCCTAAAAATAAACTTTGAAATGAGTCTATAAATAACAAACAAGATCAAGATCAATAAAAAAAAGAAATAGATGGATGAAAAAACAAGTCTTTGAGGACATGGAGAGAAGAAAATGAATCTAAACCATTGAAAAACTTGCATGAAAGTATCTGAAGGTTGAATTATGTTGTTGTTTGAAGCTGAACATTGAAGAGTTGTGAGCCAAGAATCTGAAGACATGATTACTGGGTTGTATACAAGAGTAAGGAAATCACTCCAAAATTTTCTCATCATATTTTCCAAGTTTTCCCCACAAAATCAGAAGCTAAAAGCAGGGAAATTAAAAGAATTAGAACTTTATAAGGTTATTTATGTATACTGTATGTCAATATTATACTGAGCATATCATAAATTTTTGATGTTGTGTGAACTGAACAATAGCAAGAAAGAAAGGAAGGCAAAAGAGGAGGGAAAAGTGATGAAAAGATTGAAAACATGCTTACATTGTTAGATTTGTTACTCAGTAATTTGTTAATGGGAATAAAATAATAAAATCATATTTTAATGATTAATGAATGACCCTCGAGGTTCACGGGGTTGGTGTTGGTGCTGATTTCTCGTCAATGTTTGGACGTGTGCACAGTACACACTACCCCTTGCTTAGTTTAATACTCCCCTTGGTCCCCTCGCTTTTAGTTCAATAGAGGGGTATAAAGTACTTCCTCCGTTCTTTTATTATTGCACCACTTGTCTTTTTAAAAAGTTTCACAAATATTACATCATTTCCTTTTTAGGAAAAAAATTATTTGTGTTCACACTACAAATACCCAACATACCCTTACTTTTTACACTTACTTTTTAGTTTATCTATATGTCACATGGGCAATTTTGTATTTTTACCTTTCTTTCTCTTACTTTTTTCCACTACCAAAATATTTGCACCCAACCCTTATGGTGCAATAATAAAAAAAACGGAGGAAGTATAAATTTAAAGCGTTTTTTTTTAGTAAAGGGGATTTCTTATTTACTACCTTTGTTAATTTTTATGTGCAAATTTGGAATATTTTATACTACCTCCGCATTACATAATCTGCAACAAAGTGGCCTTGCACAACTCCCAAGACAAAATTTGAGAAAAGCAAATTAACTAAATTAAGGATAAAAGATTAAATATTAATGAGAGAGAAAGTGGGGACCAAAATTTAATCCCCGCATATGCTGCTGCTGCCAGGTTTTTTAGACAAAAAGGAGGGAAACTTTTCGTGAAAACTTAAAACTTAACTGCCAAATTTTAAATTTTTAACTTCCTCCAACATTCAAATTTGGCTCCATGTTTTTTGTCAACTCCTAAGTTATAAATACACCATTTACTACACCAGTATTCATATTCAAAAAATTACAGACCACCATTAAATACAACATTTACTCCATCCCCAATCATGTTCAAAAAAATACAGGTCACCATTAAATTTCTAAATTAATAAAGTCAACACTTCAAGCTTCCAAAAAATCAAGCCTTCAAGCATCATCATCTACATCATCATCTACCAAAAAAAATCCAGCTTCAGCAGGGGTTAGTGGTGGGCAGCCTACTCTCTCATGGCAACATCTCCAACCAAAAAAAAAAAAAAGGCAGAAGTGTTTGATGATGATTATTTCAACATGGAGCAAATTTTATTGGAAGAACTCCTCCAACCAAATATGGAAGCAAATCAGTATGGTGAGCAACAAAGTGACAGAAGACAACTATCAATAGGTGAGAAAAGAGGTATTGTTGATGAAAATTTAACTCAACTTAGGGAGGATGATATACTAGAAAGGGGGATGCAAACAAAAATCGGTAATAAGTTTCGGGTGCATAGATCAACAGTTAGCAGAATATTTAATGATGTAATGACTCAAAAACAGAATGGGGGGTTGATTGATGTCAGGAATAAGAAAATTGGCAGAGTTGGTCTCAAATGCAAAGAGTATATTGAGGAATTTCTTCTCTCAGTCCCACTTAAATTGAGGACAACTGAAACAGACTGAAGAAAAAGGGGCTGCTAAGGACTCATACAAGCACCAACCATCCAAAGTTAACTGATAATCATAAGGTAGAAAGACTGAGATGGGTGTTGTCACACCTCACCCCTGCCATAGAGACAGCAGACCCAATGTACACAGACATGAACAACGCCATTCACATTGATGAGAAATGGTTTTATTTGAACCCAGAGACAAGAAGGTTTTATCTTCTGCCCAATGAAGAAAACCCTTATAGGTGTGAATAGTCAAGGAGATTTAAGGTCAAGGCAATGTTCATGATTATTATAGCAAAGCCACAGCACAACATAAATGGTGAGATGGTCCATGATGGCAAGTATGGTATATTTGACTTTGTTTATGAGCAAAGGGTAAATAAATCAAGTAAGAATAAAGCAGCAGATACAATGGAGATGGAAGAAATGCAGTCATTCACAAAGGATGACATCAGAGACATGTTGATTAATAAGGTCATTCCATGCATAATAGAGAATTGACCAACACATTTGTCTAAGGACATTCTCATTCAGTGGGATAATGCAAGACCACACAAAATTCCAACTGATCCAGAATTTGTGGCAGCTTTTACACAAAATGGTTTCAACATCAAGATGGTGTACCAGCCACCACAATCTCCAGACCTAAACGTACTTGATTTATGGCTTTTCACAGTAATGCAATCAATTCAGTACAGGTCATTCCCCAAAAATGTGGAGGAGTTAGTAAAAGTGGTTGAGGAGGCATACAATACATTTGATCCACTATCAAACAAGTTCACTTGGATCACATTACAGTCATGTATGACTTAAATACTGACTAGGATGGAAGGCAACAACTTTACTCCACCACACATGAAGAAGAGAAGGTTGGAGGAGCTAGGTATTCTACCTGAGAGGCTCACAGTTAACCCTGACCTGGTCGCTCAGGCAGTGAACTACCTTAATGACAGGTTCAGGCAAGTCAATCAAGTTCAAGGACAAGAAGATGTGGAAATGGAAGTAGATGCTGATTGAAAAGAAGGCACCAGAAAGGGACTCACAGCAAGCACTTAGTTTATGCCTTTAGTAGGTATCATGTGCTGATTTCTATTATTTTTTCTTTTTTTAATTTTCCTTGAAGGGGTCAGTTTGTTTTTGGGCAGTCATTTGGACCTAGATACAGATCTAGATTGCCACACATAACCATTACGAGATATATGGGACTGTATATGTATGGTTATGTGTATGTTTTGTGGGACTCTAAATGATGTATGGTTAGTATGAAACCTTTTGTGAATGTAATGGAACAATCATGTTTATTTTGGTAAACTATTTTACAACAAAAAATCACACACAACTTATTCCTTTAGGTTCTCAAAGTAAGTGGTACGATTTTTTTTTATTTTTTTTTTATTTTTTTTGCTAATTCCATCAGAAGGTTATTTTTCATCAAGACTACAAACCCATGTTTGTTACCTCAACACTATATGGCTATGAAAGAAATAACCAAATTGTGGAGCAAATCAAACATGTCTTTGATTATCAAAAGAGTCTCTTCATCATATAGAATTTAGTGTGGTTGTTGATCTCTCACAAATGATCATTGAGATCTAAAAGGGACTCTTGTAAGGGGCAAGACAAAATGATCTGTCCAAATAAGGCATTTACATAAAAAAGGGACTCTTTTAAGGGGCTCACCAACACCCAAATTGATCTATCAAAATCGGTCATTGAGATCAAAGTTGGAGCTTAAAGTAGGATATCCTACACAACACAAATTTAACTATCATCATTCACCAATCAGCAACCCCATTTAGTCATAGAAAGTCATAATCAGTTCATGCATCAATTACCATCAAAATCACTTCATTCGTCAATTATAACATTAGAAATTATCATCAAGAATTTATCATAAATTATGCCACAACACAAACTCATAACAAGAAGGATAAATTACCAAAAATTATCCCACATCAAACACTAATAACAACAACCACAAATCATCATAAATTAGCCAACATCAGGGACTCAGAACAACAACATGCAACATAACAACAACAACCAATTTTATCATCATAAATTGATCATAAATTATGCCGCAACAGGGACTCATAACGAGAAGGATAAATTACCAAAAATTATCCCACATCAAACACTAATAACAACAACCACAAATCATCATAAATCAGCCAACATCAGGGACTCTGAACAAGAAGGATAAATCACCAAAAATTATCCCACATCAAACACTAATAACAACAACCACAAATCATCATAAATCAGCCAACGTCAACTTGCTCAGAACAACAACATGCAACATAAATACAAAAACCAATTTTGTCGTCATAAATTATCCAAAATTATGCCATAATAGCTCATAAATAACCAGAAATTAAACTGAAATTAAGGTAGAGAATGTTACGCTGGACAGTCACTCAGTTGGGTGGAATTTTCGATCCACATACTTCAAGAACTCAAGGCATTGCTCATCAATTTTCGACTCATCAACCTCAATGCCAGATCTGACCCTCTTGTTACCAACTTTTGCATTTTCAGAAAGAAAACACATTTTGGGTGGAGGATTAGACATGGTAAAACCATACCATTCCTCTTCTTCCTCAAGTGCGGCAACCACCTTCTCACCTCCGTCCTCTATTTTTTCCTTCCCTTATCCAGTTAGATCTGACCCTCCATCATCCTCTTTCGCTTTCTCCTCTTTCTCAATTTGATCGATTATTTTAACCCCCTTCCCACCAATCTTCCTCATAATCTCACATATCCCAATCATCCTTGGTTTGAAAGTAGGGCGCTTTGGTTTTGGTTTCACAGTAACCGTACCGACAGATCTATCACCTTCTCCCCCCCTTCGCGTCCTCTATGGAATTGAGGACTCTTCCAAGAGCTTCCAACCCTTCATCAGACAGAACCTTACGAGCTTCACCACTTTGGTAAAAATGGAGAGCCGAAGAAGACCCCTTCTCAAGGGACATGATAAGATAACAAAGAACAGGAAGCTCGTTCTCGTCGGTGGTTGTGCAGTACACCTTCTCTAATGGGGTCAAATCAGCGATTTTACGGGAATCCATGGTTAGAAAGAGCAGATCTGATGAATAAACAAGAGAGGAAGAGGGAAATATAGAAGATGAAGGAGTGGAAGAGGGAAATGGAATGAAGAGAGAGAACGAGGGGAGTGAAAGAGGGAAGAACAAGCGCTTAGGGTTTTTGGAAATTTTAGATGAATCCAGAATATGGTTTATAAATTAATTAGGGATGAAATAAATAAAGAAAAAGTAGGTGGGAGTTGTTTTAATTTTGGTGGGAGAGATTACATTAATTGGCTGAAATAATTTATGTAATGAAATTTGATTAACAAAATTAATTGTTACTTAGATTGTTTTAGTAAGGTGATGTGTCCATTTTATATAGTGTTTTACCCCCGTCCTTGGTCGTTATTAGTAGTGTTTTTGGCTCCTTCGGGCCAATTTTATTACTAATTTGTGTGTTCTAGTGTTTTCGTAGTTTTAGTTGTATTT